ATGTCATGGGTTCTCCTTCACTTGACTTTTAAAAATCAGGTTTAGACATCTTCAGAAAAATATGCAAAAGCAATACAGATCAAAGAGAAAACATTTCTTTAATATAAGCATTATTGGACTAGATTCTTTGACTGCTGTTTTATACAAGGTCAAACTAGGTGATCACATCATCTCTGGGTTTGAAATCACTCTAGAGGTGGTATGCTGACAGGTATGATGAGACCTTTAGCTTGAAAAAAAGAGTTAAAGGATTCAAAGGGTTATATTTATTATGTATTTATCATTACTTTTTTTTCCTGCAGAACAGACAATAAGGCTAAAAATATTACCTAAACTCAAAATGAAGAATTATTTACTGTAATATCTATTGCTTCTTAAACCACCTCAATATAGAGATATATAACTCCAAAATCAATTTAACCCTGAATAGTACCCGTTGATGTAAGCGTCCATTGGAATTATTTTCTAGTAATTGTATCTTGCTTTCTTTGCAGAACTGCAATGCATCAAGTTTTAAGTAGTTTGGGTGCTGAATAAAAAGTAAAAACCCCTCCAAACGCTTCCAAGATGAACTCAAGACATAAAAACCAAAGCATTAAATCTTGCATTTGACGAAACATAAAATCATCCACAAAAATTCAGTCCAATCATGAATGATCTCAATGATAATAAACTGCTCTTAACTTGAAACAATGGAATGTGTGGGTGGCAAGCAGACGAAGATAAATGCAATTAACCTAAGGGAATATGGATTCACTCTCTCTTACTAATCATCACATTTGGTTTTGTTGAAAACCTGGAAAGGACACATTACTGAATGCCACTTTTTATAATTTTCAAGCAAGCATTATAGCAGGATATTTCAGTTCACTAGATAATCACCACTGCTAGCAAAAGATAAATGTATTCAGAAGTTAATATGGTGTAGGCTATTCTGAGTGAATTGCTTTTTCAAAGAGGAATTCATAAAAAACCCTCAGTTTTACCCGAATCATTGCCCGTGGGCACAATGTCTCTTCTGCAGCCCACAGGGATTACTGCAATTTCTTTGTAAGCTTCCAGAATAGGGAATGTACTGCAATTCCCTCTCCAGCTATCAAGCGGTTTTACTGAATTTTTTTGTGCAAGACCTTGTGAAGCCAACTGTCAATACAGGAGGTTATGTTGAAATGAGGCTCTTAAAGGCCAGCTTTTCCTAACAAGAAGCACACACTGCATTTACCAAAATTTCAAATGCCTTGTATCTGTGCTTGAATGGTCGTCATTTAAAAAAAAAAAAAGCGTAGCCTGGTTTTCCTAGCTCTGAGGCCAGCTACACAGTCAGGGCACGTACGTGTATTTGAGCAGATGAGTAGGATTTGTGGGAATGCTCTTCCTGGGTGGCAGGAAGAAACAATTCGGGATGATTTAACAGCACTTCTGGAAAAGTGTGGTTGTATAAGAAATGCTTTGCAATCAGAAGAATGCATGAGAAATATTCGAACTTTCTCTGGGCTAATTGCCACTTTGAGTACATTTACCACATTGCTTAAGCATAGCTGCATCTTTCCTCAAAAACTCAGCCTCCAAGTATAGTCTGACTCCAAAAAACCATCATTGATCTGGCATCCTAAGGCAAGATCGAGGCTTTAAGGCATAATGCTTTCCTAAGTCTGGAGGATAAATGGCATCTTGCAACATGGCATCCAAAAAATGCAACAAAACCCAACATTAACAAAAAACAAACGACAATAATAGAAAAAGAATTTGCCTCTGAATTCCTTCTTAAAGAAGAATTTGGTTGCTAAACAGCATTGCTGAAAGGGAGAAATTACTTTCTTGTCTTTCAATAGTATTTGAGATTTCAAAGGGTCTGTCCCACTGTGGAATGAAAATAAAAGATGTTTTACAGCCTTTACATTTTTTACCAATTCAAGGAGACCTCGGAATCCTCTTTCTCATCTCAGATCTTATAAACCCAAAAAGACCCTGGAGTGTCTCCCACTCTAGTATGGCTTTTCCCAGCTGCCACAGCTCTACATCACCAATACTAAGGTGAATTTGTCATTCACCTGCAGATTTTTATTCCATTGAGCACTGTATTCCGTGTTCCTTTCCTACACCTGAGCTTCTTTATGACCCATACAATACTTCATTTTCTTGGGCTTCTAAAGGCTTTTAGAACCGAAAAAATCATGATATTCACAACGTGCCTTTCTTCCAAAATTTTCTTTAAACTGAGACAAAGAGAGTAATTGCTCATAAAAAGGACAGTTACAGTCCAAAAATATTCTGTGCCTAGTTCCTCCACTCCTGTTCCTGACATCCTCAAAGGCATCCCTGATCTCTCAGCCCTGGCTCTAAAACAAAGGGTAAATGGTGATTTCGTAGATGCTGACTTTTATTAAAGTCTTCTCCTCCTCTCCTGGGCTATGGCAGCAGAGACAGCCCAGTGGCTGGGCAGGGAGGAGGACAGGCTGGAAACCCTTCTAAGCAGGGGAGAGGCAGGCAGGACCTGGGGGCAGCGATAGCCCTGCAAACTCAGGGCACCACCCACGGTGCCTTCAGTGCCTGAGGAGGCAAAACCTTCCAAACGTCCAGGCATTCTCCATGCTCTTGAGTACTCGTGTACTCGAGAAAAAGAAAGCAAAGTCTCAGCGTCTGCTGAGAAGGTAACATTTCACTTAATACTTTAGTGCTGTATTTGCATTTTTTTCCATTGGGCTTTAGTTGACATCATACAGATACAAGCTAGGAAAAAGGTAAATCTAAAAAAAAATTATTTGTTTTTCCACTCCTAGAAGAGGCAGTATAATTTACAAGGGCCTATATAAGTACCAGCGTATAGGAATGAAAGTCTAATTTGTACCTGTACCTGCTGGGCGAGCTTGATGAGGGCAGACCCCCAGCTGGCCAAGTGCTCCCACACTCGCACATCTCCATGCAGAGCAGATTTTGGCACTTCTTGGGAAGGACAGAACTGCTGTGCTGCCGGGTGGACACTGCTCAGGCTGGAGGGCAGAGCTTTGAATATATCGATCCCAGTGTGTAAATGGAGAACCGTATTTACACGCTCAGGGAAGTGGGATCAGCATGTGCATTTCATTGCAGCCTTTTCACAACTACTAGGGGAAACGGTAAACCCTTGGAAGCGACGTGACCTTCTCCCTCGTCTCTGTGGGATATTGCGACACCAAATCTACAACCTACAGTACTGCGATGTGATTTTTCACCAGCCTGAAATGATGAATAAGCGAGAGGTGGCGTGCCAACCCCCCCGCCACAGGCACTCCACGGCAGGTGTTACACTCCCACTTCCCGAAGACCATCAGTGTCAGGCAGAGCATACAGCTTACCCTACTCGAGATGTCAGTTCAAGTGCTCTGCAAACAGACTCAAGAGCCTCTTCTCAGTGGTACAGGGACAGTCCCCACTTTCGTAAGCTCTTGTACTAACCAAAGAGCACTGAAGAGCTCACTGGGAATTGCTGCGTGCTGTCGCAGTCTTTTATTGCTGTTTGCCTTGAGTTCAGACCCTGCTGTTTGAAAACAGCAGCTCTATACTGGTCGTACTGGTGGGGTCTGGAATCCCAGTGCCAACACCACGCTCCTGGCAGCAGAGCCGCAGTGCTGTGCCTCATGGACCTCCCCGCACCGCATCCTGCTTCCAGCCCTTCTTAGACCTCTCCTTGGAGGACTCGGCGCTTTGGCAGGAGAATAACAGGGAAGGAAGGTGTCAGCCGTCCTTTGATGTCTCCAGACTAGTGTCATCAGCAAAACCCATGGCATCAATAAGGAAATGGTACCTCATGTCACCCCTGAGGTTTGCCTGTGCCACCTTCATCTGGTCTATTGGCTGTAATACAGCTGTCCCACCAGCATAATCAATAGCTCACTGCAAACACGCCCCTTTTTGGACTAGTTAAATGTCTTTGAAAATTCAAAACAAAGCTATTTCATTAAGCTTTGAAATTTTAAGCAAGACAGACTCCTTTTCCTTGTAGCTTGACATACATCTATCACTGATGTGATGGACAAATCACAGCAAGACCACGGTACTGAGATGAAATTTCAGCTCAAACCGTGATTCTTTTATGGTTGTTGAGTCCCATGAGAGTTGTGGAAGGAGGAAGATGGTCAAATACCCATGAAATGAGCACGGGCAGCCCGGCCTGCAGCAGAGGTTGTGCCACCCTTGCAAGACTTACTAAATTCAGGATTGATGAAATATAAAGACATGCTAGCTGTTAAAATAAATAGCTGAAACAGCCAATTATTCAAAGGCTTGGCCAAAATATTCAAAATTCTTGGCCAGACTTGTGCAGGCTTTTAGAGAGTGGCAAAAAACATCTAAGAAAAAGGCCATTCCTCCGAATTTCAGTACGCTGATCTAAAACACATGGGTATCACAAGGCTTCAAAAAAAATCTTTTACCTGGGAAAAAGTGTATTTTCCACTCACCCCGTTTTCTAATATAGCTGAAGCATTATGGCTATTCTTAAGCATTGCCTTGTTCCTAAGACGATGCATACTATGGATTCAATTACATAATTCTGAGAACGAAGAAGACATGAATTGGGTGTAGTATCTAGGCCAATGTCCCCTGACACGTGGCACCTGTGCAGTCTCCAGAGGACCTGGGACACGGTCCAACAGATGCAGCTCCTTTATCTGGACACTGCAAGATGGGTGCAGATCCCTCCCACTCCCCAGGGGTTAGTGGTCATGCAGATTTATAAGTCTACATTAATTTTGGATTGTATTCCTCTAAGCATACACCAAATAAGGTTCATGCTGGACACTGTATCTCACCAGAGAGGCCTGGACGAGAGGATTTTAATGGAAAATTCAGACTAAAATAGAAACTGCCTGTGCTATGCTGGAAAGTTTGCTTTCCCTTTTCCCCAACCTCTGCCACCATCACCAGAGACACAGCGTTATCTGTGAGCTTCACTCCATCCTCCACCCACCACAGCTCCACCACCACGCACAGCCCACCAGTGACGAAGGCAGACCACTTACCTGTTGCCTTTTCAGGGTTATTACACATGAAGCACTGCCAAGTTCCTGCTTCCTCACTGTAGCCGAATAAATCAAAGAACCTCACTTCTTCCAGGTGCATCTGCACGTGGTCCAGGTCCTAGGCCAATAAGGAGAGAAACCAAACTCACTCACAAGGTGAACCGCTGCACGGTTTACAGCTCGTAACCCGAAATCACAGAGGGATGCACAGCAGGTGCTGACGAACGTCCTCTTCCATGTGTCCCCTGTGGACAAACAACCTGCCAGGGCAAATGTGCTAAGCAGAATGTATCTCTCTCTCCATCATCAGTAGCAGCTTTTATATATA